CTTCCCAGTAGGTGAGATCGTGGTCAAACACTTGCCTGGTTTAATGTAAAAAACACAAAAAATAGGTATACAGTATTTATTTTTTTGAAGAAAATAAAACATAACCGAGAATCAAACATATTTATTAGACAATTTAAAAATATTTAAAAGTGAGACATCTGACTTTGTTTTACAGAACTAACTTGTAAGTGCATCAAAATTGATCTCCACTGATGATGCCGCTAAACGCAAACAGTTTTCCAAATGAACATCAGTAATTCGATCTCACTTGTGATTTGATGTACTTCATGGGACTAAAAAGCTGTTCACACGCATAAGTGTTTCCACATAGCGAAACCATCGACAGAGCATGTTTGTAAAACGCAGGATATTTATCCTTGTCCAAATATGTTTCATAGAACTCTTCCAAACCAACTTGATGAAATTTCTCCAACGTTTCAGGGTTTATTTACTTATATAATCCATATGGTAGACAGGCTACTTGGTTAAAATAGTTTGAACTGTAATTATAAATATGTATTTTAACGTCGATTGCAAAATCTCTCCAGATGCATTGGCGATAATAATACGAAACTACAGAATAACACGGAACTTTGTCAAGCTGGACTGAAAGTAGTTATGAGTATGAGCCCGATAGCATTGTGAGCTTCCCGAAAACGCCGAAGACCACAGAACATATATAGCTAAAGTCTCATATTAAATTTTATCAACACCTAGCGTCGGACAAAAAACTAAGTAACCTTGAGTGTCAAATAGCGGGATATTTGAAATAACTAAAAATCTATGAATTTTTCTAAAATGAAAGATATTTCAAATTTCTCTTAGCATAATTTAAAAATACACGATACGAATAACTCATGACGTAATGTTCTTTAGGTGATATGTACAATAAAGTTAACATTTACGTTCATTTGACCTAGCTCCACGGACCTCAACATGACTCCTGGCGGGCCGCTGGCCTCGTGTTAGCCACCCCTGGTTTACAACGTTCATTTTGTTTACACGTTAAATACTATTATAACGTTTATAAGCGAGATTAGGGAAAGGAAAACACGGAGGACGATTTCGGCAGTAATAGAAGAATGGAAGTTAAATTCCAAGTGGCCAGGAAGACATTTTAATCGTTGTCCTCTGGTAGTGAAATCGAATTCTTCCGACTGGAATGTTTCGTAACTACGTGAGATCGCCCAAGTGTTGCATTGCCATAACTTTCAAAATACAACGTAACTACGTAACGAATAATTCGTATTCAATGCATTATTAGTTGACTCGTTTCTTTTCCATTTAGAAAACCCAATTTCCTTATTTTCGTCTCTCGCGCTTCCCCCGTAACCTTCTTCACTCTTTAAGCCGAATCGATGATTTAATCGAAAGACAGACTTTTTCAGATGTGTAGTTTTTACGTAATTATTTAAAAATTTATTCGTATTAAGTGAAATAAAATTACTTAATGCGGCGATTTAATTCGCATTTTAAATTTAAAAAAAAAAAAAATGTACATTTCAATGGTTAATGTAGACGGAGCCGTCATAGTGGCGCAATTCTATATATACACACAGCAAGAAAGCAGACGACCGTGGAAGCTGGGGAAGTAAACTCGGAGACTGGGTTTGTTCGAGATTTATTTTTCCGCAAAATGAATGACACAAGAATTAATTGTTAATGCGCAATTCAGCGCGTGATTATCGATTACGTATAGAACGGTTATTTTATCGATTATCTCCGATGACTTAGATAATTTTACGGTACAAGGGACAAAAACCGGTCGACGTACCGTTTGCGTTAGAAACTAAAATGGAGTTGGAAGGAGGATTTACGAATTTCTGCGGATCCCGTTTTTGGGTAATGTATGGCTCGAAAATTTTTATCGTCAAATCAAAAGTAAACGATTTCTACTAATTTATTCGTTAGAAAAAAAGACTAAGTGAAGACTCCTCCACCATTTCCTTTATTATTTTGTCTTTCTGTTGGTTGTCACACAAGTAATCGACACCAGAAATCTGTTAAGTTTTATTAATTAATACTGTGTTTTTCCTATTGTAAGCGCATTGTAATTTGACCGATTTTTATCTCCACTATAATAAGATTAACAAATAATTATTCTCGTTCTCACTTGCTGGAAATTTATTTATTTATTTTAAGAAAACAAGAATTGGAAATCGTTCGGGATGTAGTCTGCTTCTTTTCTTCTCGCGAATTAAACCGGAGGTGGAAAAAAGACGCGGTAAACACTGGTGTATACAATACCACTGACGAGAGAAAATTAAAATTCATTTCTTACAACTTTTAAAACGCTTTTAAAAAGTATTTACTATGACCAATTTTCTTTATCGGACCGTCCATCCAGCGACGGTTGGCACGCGTTAGTAAAAGTTACTTATTCATTATTCAAACGTTTTAAATTTTTGGTCCGGTCCCCCTCCTTCCGGATCGGCCTTTGCTATCAGTCGGAAACGTAATCCGTTATAATACATTCCTGGTTCCATTGGCTTCTGGGGCCATATTGAAGGTATTCGTAGTATTGGAAATTACGTTGTATCGAAGTAACGATCGCGATCACGAATGGCCTGTACTTTCTGCTATCGAGTATTCGCCAATTTCTACTATAAATCGCTCGAACTCTTGTTAATTCGTCCGAATTCCTTCGATATTCTTCCAAACTATTGCATTTATTTCAATGTTTCGAAACTGCAAAAACCACGATTGATCGAAGAATGCCATCGATGACTATTCCTCTTTTGATGAAAAGTGGGTTCTGGCGTATTTTTAGTGTTGTGAATAAAACAAATACTTGTAAATAAAACATCGAAACCAGTTATAAATTTAAACTAGATGCCGTACGTTATCAATTTGTTAATTTTATGTCCAATTCAAACATTAAAAGTTTCGAAATGAAAACGAAATCTCGAATGGAAAATTTTCACTTAATCGAAATTCTTTCTTTATGTAAATATGCGATAAACAGCAAAATCATTTATATAAATAGGTCTTATTGTTTTTGCTGTAAAATTATTGATAACAAATACTGTATTTGATCTTAGATTTAATTTATATTATTATTATTATCGTCTTTGATTATTGATGAGATGCGATTGATTCGCGCAGTATTTGATACGAGATAAATGCTTAGATTTGAGATTAAAATTATATCGGTATATTGTGCAAGGAATTCGTCGTTTGAATATGTAGGCTGCTATTGCTGAAACTGTATATTTCGTATCGTAAGAACTAATTCCGGTTTTAAATCGTAACAAGGATTTCTGTTGAAATTTGATTATTGTTTAAGTAATATTCTATACGAACATTTAAAATATTAAATAAATATATCAAAATAAAAGTAAAGGACTATAAAAACCTTTGTATTATTAAATGCGATTTATAAGAATCGACTTAAGTAGCATTTGGGTTCGAAGAAAACTTGAATGCTGCCTACGGAGGTGCTCCGTATTTATTGCTACGCTCTGCAGATTTAACAACGAGCAATGCGCAAAAGACTTGATTTGATGCAAAGAAATTAAAATAGCGAATGGTTAATAATAAATTTATAACTACTGAATGTGAAAATTATTGATGATACGTTTAATTTCAGACTGAAGAAGTTTGGAACGGAGAGACTTTAGTGTTGCCAATATGCTTTCGGAACATTGCTTTTGTTTGGATTCCGTGTGGATTTCTATGGCTATTTATGCCTTTGGAAATATATTTTATTTACAGAAGCTCGGAAAAGGCAATTCCGTGGACGATACTTAATATTTCTAGAATGGTGAGTTATTATGTGAAATTATGTATCATTACATATTCAGTGGCGTGTTATCCTATGGGGAAAAAGGGCAATTGCCTAGGCCAGGGATGGCGAACCTTTTCGTGTTCACGTGTCATTTTGTAAGCATACTTACCTTTAAAGATGTTTATGCGTGCCAAAGTTTCTGACTTCGAATAACGATATTTAAAGAAATTAAACGAATATGCTTTAATTAGAATAAATGTAAAAAGGCTGATTGAAAAAAGGATGATCAGGTGATAAACCAAAAAGATGATTGAAAAAGACAGAAATCGTATGATAAATTACGTCCCAGATGATTTCTCCCTATGTGCCACTTTGGGCACGCCTGCCATAGGTTCGCCACCCCTGGCCTAGGCCCTCAACCAATCTTTTATAAGAAAAAATTCCCTCAAAAGAAAGTGTCTGAAGTCAATATTTCACTGCACTGCATTGCACATGGGGCCTCTAGTTCAAATTCGCTTGGCCCCCATGAAGTTATGTCCTGTTAACGAAATAACCAAGTAATTAATAAAAAATAACACAATTAATAATAATTAGGAAAATTAAAATGTGATACTAATGAATATATTTTATTCAAACAAGAAAAACTTTATACTTATTTAAAAACCGTAATTGATTCCACAACCAATGAACCTTTTTCTTAGACAAAGACTGAAATAATGTGAACTAATGCCATTAAAGTAAAATTGATTATCTTAGAAAACATTTTGAACAAAAATACAGTACTGTATAAGCCTAAAGTCTTGAGATAATAGATGTATTTATGTTTAAAGAAAAAATAAATTAGTATTTATACTCTTACAAAACATGTTCAGAATTTTAAGAACTGACATAAAATATATTTTTGAAGATATATCAATAGCTATTGTAACTTATCTGAATGTAAAATTTTATTTGTATTTCTTATTAATAATTATGAATTTCAATAAAGTAATTTAATCTACTTTTATTTTTATTCCAGGTACTAGCTCTTTTATTAATTGCAGTGTCAATAATTGATCTAATAAATGATTTACATACTTCACCCAATTTACCTCCTGTCTATATTGTTTCTAATATTATTTCAATATGTACTTTGGTAAGGAATTTAAGTTTATTTAAAATTTAATTAATAATATATAATATTCATCAAGGATTTTATTCTTTTTTTAGGCTTTATTCATAATTTTAGCTATTTGTGGACAAAGAAAAGGAATTTATTCATCTGGAATTATTTTTATATTTTTGTTGTTAATGACAATCGGAAATTTTGGCTTCTATTATTCACATTTAAGCAATCTATTTTTGGAGGTAAATGCATTTAAATTGAATAATAATAGTTTATTTTCATTATGTAACTGTGTGTTTCTTTTTATTTAAAGGTAGATATTCATGTTAATACAGTTAATTATATTATAGCAATGATACGTTTTCCTCTAATATTAGCAGAATTTCTATTCTATTGTTTTGCTGATAAGATACAAATTGAGGAAAAACTTGATATGCAGGTTAGTGATGTTTGAAATTGATAATATAAAAAAAAAATTACTAAAAATGATAAGATTAAATTTTCAGAAAGAATGTCCTATCAAATATGCATCATTTCTATCAAAACTATTATTTTGGTGGTTTACAAAGTAAGTTAATTTTTTTATATATTGTTGGATATTATTTTAATTTTGTATTTAAAAATAAAAAGCTGCTCATATATGTTTAATACAAATATATTGCAAAATAATTTAAGAAATTTCAATTCTTCAGAGGTAAGTTTGTGCTGATTTCAAAAATTTTAAAATGAAACCTTAAATACTAATGCAATCATAAATTTGCATTCACATAAAAATTCAAAAAACACATTTAATTTGATAATAAAATTATTTTTAAAATCATATGTAAAGTTTATCATAAAGAACAATTGATTTAAAATATATGAAGAATGTTTAAATACTGTTTTTATTTTATAGAAGCAATTGTAAATTGCAAATTTTGAACAAAATGACAAATTATTACTAGAATAAGAAAACAATAATCAAACACAACACTTCATATTTATCTGCTTTAAATAATGTAGAAAGTTACTACTAAATCATTTCAGAAAGTAAAAACAAATATAGAGGTATATTTGCAATATTATACTATGAATTAAATATTCTTTGGTCTGATAAGAATAATCTTGCTGTAGTTAAATGAAATAATGGATTTCTGTCTGAAATAAAGATTGAGTAAGTTTGGTTAATGAATATTTCAAGAAAAATGAAAACTCATCCTTGGGCAGTAAAAATTATTTTTATAAATATTAATGTCTTCAGAGTAATACTGAAATATAAAGTATACAAATATCATTGGAATTTAATTCTGGCCATTAGTCAAAATACTGAAATAAAATCTAATAATGATGAATATTTATTAATAACCATTTCTAGTCTTTCCACTTAACTAAAAAAATGTACTGATTATAATATGTTAAAATACATTTTTCAGCTTTTTATTAAAATTTTCATATAATATAATAAAAGTGCAGGTAACCCCTGTATAACACAGCACTTCTATAGCATGGATTCACTCTGACATGGTTTGAGAATTGGGTAAAACCCTCGTACAACATGAAATGTAATAAATTTTTACATACTTAAGTACAAATATTTCACGAAAATAATAATTTTCGTGAACTATTAGTACATAAGTATGTAAATTTTCTTTACTCGCCTTCTGTCGATACACATGATCCTTCTCGAAACTTGTTTCAATGTTGCCAGATCTCGACGCTTCTGCTTCTGATGCTGCCAGATGTTTTTCCCTTATTCCATACTTGCTTTCTTCTTTATAAGTGCTTAGCACCATATAAGGAAATTTATAAAGATCTTTTATCTAGAAGCAAGCAATCTAAAATTACAAACTTTTTGCAAAAGGTAGAGCATGGATCTGAAGATAATGCAGAAAAATGATCAGAGGATAAGGATAACTTGCCAAAAAGAAAACGCTCTCAGTTAATAGTGCTTTTAGTGATGACAAAAAAGACATTGTTTAATTTATATTAATATGTATCACTTAAGAAAATTTTAATAAAGATATTTATCTTAATTATGAAAATATAATAGCATGTTTTTTAATTTTTGGAATCTAACCTTCCTTTTCGTACTAGATCTTTGTTTCGTATAACACAGATTTCCATAACACAGCAATTTTTTGGAACATAACTCCTGTGTTATACAGGGGTTACCTGTAATTAATAATTTAATATTTTTAATAGTAAATTTTCATCTTCATAACTAATTACTATTAAAGGTATGTTAGGGGGCAAAGCCAAGAGCATTTTGACCTAAAATATCCTTTGTGCATGCATTACAGGTAGTTCAAATTATTAAAGATTTGTTGTAACTAGTAATATAAATTCTATCCAATGCGTTGAAATCTCTGGTGGAAAATAAACTCTTCACAACAGTACAAGAACTGGACATAAGTCATATGACCATTTAACATCATTTCGAAGAGCTGGGAAAAGGGCTTTAGTTGGAAAAATCTGTGCCACATCACCTGCTGCTAGCTCAACTTGAACATTCTGTCAATCTGCACATTTCATTGCACTCTCATCTCTGAGCTCCATTTTTGGATGAAATTGTTACCAAATACAACATAAGAATATTAAACATTGTCCAGGACTCAGTCCTGGAGATAAAGTGGCACTTCAGCTGACAACCAACCTTCATCCAACAATGATGTTGCTTGGTATGTGATGTGATATACAAGATGTGATAAATTTTGAGCTGCTGAGAAGGAATGAAACCATCATAGCTGAAATTTACTGTCAGCAATTGGACCATTTGATGGAAGCTCTGTGAGAAAATAGCCCAGACTATGTTCTCTATCATAATGATAATGCCTGTCCACAAAAGAGCTCTTATCACCTCTAAAAAACTGGAGGAACTGGAAAAATGATTCATCCCCTTATTCCCCATATCTTGCTCCTTCAAATTATATTTATTTTGGAGCTTGCAAAATTATGTTGAATGAAAGAACTTCAATTCTCAGGAAGATCTCAAAAATGTAGTATTGGGATGATTTGATTTTAAATCAAGAGAAGTTTCCATTAGGGTATCAGAAAATTGCCTGAAAGGTGGCTTGAGATTATATCTGATAAGAGACAATCAGTGGGGTAGCATAGTGGGGCGGCAAAATTTCACAACAAATAATAATAATAATATCTTGTAAAAATTTGAACCATTTCATTTCATATTTTTGTTGCACCTATGATTCAGACTGATTGAAATGAGCACGGAATTTTTCATTACTTATTCTGGGACGAAACTGAATTTTAGTCTTTTAAATTGAGATACATAAATAAAGGGGCAGCAAAATTTTCCTCCACCCCAGGCGGCTGACACCCATGCTACACCACTGGGGACAATACATTGATGAGTGAAAAATAAACTTCCTGCAAATAAAATTTTCAATTATTTTGGATAGAATTTATGTTACAACCTGATAATTTCATTGATATAGATTACAAGAATAACATATTTGCAATTACATATTTGGAAGAAAATGAAAATGTTGTATAAGATTAAAAGAATTTCAATAGAAATCATTCGAAAGTAAAATTTTTGAAATTTATTGAAATACTTTTATCTTAAAATTTTACTGCATCAATTAATATTATAACTGATATATATTTGTAAAATATAAATATTTCATCCAAAATAAAAGTGATATTGTAAGTCATTGAATCCAAAACCAAGCATAATATCTAGGATCATAACATAGATATTATCAATATCATTCTTCTGTCAAAATAGTTAAAATTTTTGCTAAAACACTGGCTTCTATCGTTAATGATTGCCATCAAAACATTATTAATAATTCCATTAATATATTACACATAGTTTGACATTATTATTAATTTAAGCACATTATTATGTTGCTGAAGTCAGATTTTGTAAAATTTTTGTTGCATTTAATTTTTCCAGCAAATTCAATTATAAAATTTTCTAAGACTCTTTCCATGAAATGATAGTTTATAAATTTATTGTATAATCCTTTGTGATCTCATTTACAAAAGCTTTAGGACAGGGATGTCCAGCCAATGGGCCACACTTAATATTTTTATGTGGCCCACTGCACCCTAAATTCTTTAGGTATATTTTCATTTATTTTGGTAAAATATGTCGTAAAAGTTATTCTTGTTTCACTGGATACACTTTGATGTCATAATGATGTAATTTGTGTTAAAGAACTGTTTTATCTAGAGAACTGTTATGTATGTGGGATAGTACATACTGTTGTGAACAATTCTTTTCATGCATAATGAAAAACATCAAAACTGCTGAAATAGGTTGAGTGATTTGCATTTAACTAATATTCTTTGAATTAAGACTAGTACTATAAAAGCAGATATTGACAATATTATAAAAGGGAGACAAAGTCAAAAATTGCATTCAGTTTATTTTTATTTTGTGCAAGTATAATTTCTTTTTTTACTGTCAATAATACAGCCTTTTTTGTAATTATATATATTTGTTATTAAAATTTGATATTCACATTTTGAACTTTTTAACAGTATATATTTATATAAAGTACCTTTTGTGGCCTGCTGAATATACCTAAATTTCTAATTTGGCCCATTAGGAAAAGGTTGGACAACCCTGCTTTAGGACATACATAATTAAAGGATATATGTTTTTCTTTAATATTAAACTATGAAAATTACTGTAATTTAGCAGCATTAATTTTTATTCAAATTTTTTTCTACTTCATAGACCATCTTCCAGAATTGCTCTATTTTAGAAGAAATTTCTGAAAAAATAACATTCTTATAATACTAGAAAATAACACAAATATTCCTATACAAAATATAATTACAAATCAATTATATTATCATAGTCTAATAGATACTAACACTACAAAATAATTTGTTTTGTTAGTGTTATCAAATATTAAATATTAATGTATTGTCTGAGGTATTATTTGTCAGAAATGGCTCTGTCTGAGCTTTTTTTTTTTTGTCTTGCATGCTTGTTTCAACTGCCCATACCACTTTTTTTCAATGTATTATCAATATAAAAAATTATTATATAAAATCCTCATTTATAATAAAAGTTTACTGATATGAAATAATTTTAAGTGTGCAAAATTTTTCTGTTTGATATTCTTGAAGAATAAGTTAGAGATGAATTAAAATAACATGCTCTCTGAGGTTTTTGTTGAGGTTGTATTTAACTTTACATGTTATATTTATGTATGCATATAGTTGTGCAAGTGTATATATACACAAAAGTCTTATACATATGCATAGAACTTGGCATCATCATATTTTCTAAATACTATCTTTTAATTTATTAGAGTATTTTATAGAATGTGTGTGTGCGTGTATCTAACTAATTCATAAAAATTTTTTAAAAATCCATTTTTGTCATTTTGTATTATTTTAGTAAATGAAAAAACACTTCTAAAAATTAATTGATTAGTTATTCAATACCTGTAGTTAGAATGTGTTAGACTAACATTAGAGTAACACTCAAACAGGTAGCTGCTATTTTGAGAATGACATTTTATTTTATCTTAACCTTTGGCAGCTTTCCCTGTATAAAAAAATAAACACTTCATAATTTAAAATTATATAAATTTCTTTTTCTTTTAGTGTTTTAAAATTACAATATAAATAGTTTTTTGCAACAAGTTTACTTTAATGGTTATTATATTGATTTTATATAAATTATCGGATATCTTGAAATAATTTTTAAAGTTAATAAAAATAATTAATTAAACTTATTGTTTTTTATACAAATATAGCTTAGCAGTTTTGGGTTGGAAGAGACCATTAAAACAGTCAGATTTGTGGTTATTGAGGCCTGAAGATGAAACTTTGAGCATACTTCCAACATTCAATTATTATTGGAAAAAACAAATATGTGATTCAGAGTAAGTTATTAGGTTAGAGAAATTCAAATATTTAGCTGAANAAATTTTTGTTTTCATTTTAGTTTGCAAAATATTCTTATAGAAAAACTTAATGTATAATTTTAATAATTAACTTAAACTGCAAAATTATCAAATACATTATTAACTATTGGACTTTTCATCTTTAAATGTGTTTCTATTTTAAATATTCCAAAACAACAGCTAAAATATGAAATACAATTCTACAAGTAAAGACTTCTTGTATGTGTGAAGAAGTTTTTTTCCAATCATTCTACATCTGGTATATCTAAACTTTTACATTCTAATTATACCAAAATAATTTGTCCTAATTTTTCTCATATAATATGATTAAGTGCAATATATCTTGTATTTTACCAGTACATAAAGGAAATTTAGCTATCTTTCACATTAAAAAAATATGTAAATGTATGCTGAAAAATAATTGAATTTTATGTCATATTTATTAGAAAATGAATAGACAAATATATTTTCATTTTATGTAGTAATTCAAGAATGAAAACTTCCAACAAAAAAATTGAAATAAACATTGTCTCAATTTTGATTAAAACATTTGGATTATACTTTTTGGGAGGTTCTTCATTAAAATTAATTTATGACATTTTGCAATTTGTAAATCCTCAAATACTTGGGTAAGTGTTTAAAGTTTTAAACTTTTTAAATTAGAAAAAAAGCATGTCATATATTTAATAATTGCATTATTTTTATTTANCCTTTGGAAATATATTTTATTTACAGAAGCTCGGAAAAGGCAATTCCGTGGACGATACTTAATATTTCTAGAATGGTGAGTTATTATGTGAAATTATGTATCATTACATATTCAGTGGCGTGTTATCCTATGGGGAAAAAGGGCAATTGCCTAGGCCAGGGATGGCGAACCTTTTCGTGTTCACGTGTCATTTTGTAAGCATACTTACCTTTAAAGATGTTTATGCGTGCCAAAGTTTCTGACTTCGAATAACGATATTTAAAGAAATTAAACGAATATGCTTTAATTAGAATAAATGTAAAAAGGCTGATTGAAAAAAGGATGATCAGGTGATAAACCAAAAAGATGATTGAAAAAGACAGAAATCGTATGATAAATTACGTCCCAGATGATTTCTCCCTATGTGCCACTTTGGGCACGCCTGCCATAGGTTCGCCACCCCTGGCCTAGGCCCTCAACCAATCTNTAATAATTGCATTATTTTTATTTAGATTATTGATTAACTTTACAGCAGGAGATGAACCTTTGTGGAAAGGAATCGCATATGTTCTTGCCATGTTTGTCACAATTTTCCTTCAGTCAATAGTCCTTGGTGTTTATTTCAATGACATGTTTGTAACTGGATTGAGAGTAAGAACGGTATTGATATCTGCAATCTACAGAAAGGTAAAGTTTAAATATTTTACACAACTTGAAAATATTTTTTCCCACTAAAACGGCTGCAGCTAAAGTTGTTTCATCAATAATTAAGATTCTTCTACTACACTTTATTATGGAATTATGTAAATATAATTTTATGAGAGTTTATCTTCTTATTTGGAAGAATTGTGGTTATCGAATGTAAATAATGAACAGCAGTGATTGATTTTACTGCATGTTCTTTATGTAACAAAAGACAGCCAATTTAGAATCAGTTCTATTCAAAATAATTATAAATTCATAACAATTTGATTTTAATATTCAAAATTAGGATTACAAATTCAAAAAAATACTTTAGATACTCAAGTTATCCTCTACAGAACATCTAACATTTTGTATAATAATCTTGAAATATATAAAAAAAATTTGATTTTTAGAAGTTTGGGTTTTCAAAATTTAACTATTTGAACTTTTGAGTAATCAGCTTACTCAAAGTATTTTATTTTACTTTAATATAATTTAGTTTATTTTATAAAAAGAAAAAAATGTAAAAAATAGGAAAAGACATCCTGCATTATTATTTGCTTTGGTCATTAATGGTGTCATTTACACATGTAAATGATAACATGTCATTTAGGTGGTACTGACTATTCAAAAATTCATCACAACAAATATCTTGGAAGAATAGTTAAATTCTTTAATTGTTNTAAATTTCAACAAGTTTGTTTTTTCTGTTTTACTTTTTTTTTTTGGTCCAATTAAGGGGTTAGAGTGCACCAATAACTGATGCAGAATAATCAACAATCAATTTTTGTTTGCAAGTAACAAAGCAAAAAAAAAAAAATGTCATGTAGATGATCAATTTTCACGGAAGGGCGATTTTTATTCCAACCGCCCATTAGTTATCGTGTTGATCCTTTAAGGTTAATTCATCTGTGAAAACGTAGAAACTTTTTAAATAACCTTAATGTTGTTAAAGATATTTAGATTTTTTGTTTTTAATTTTATAAAAAGAAAAAAATGTAAAAAATAGGAAAAGACATCCTGCATTATTATTTGCTTTGGTCATTAATGGTGTCATTTACACATGTAAATGATAACATGTCATTTAGGTGGTACTGACTATTCAAAAATTCATCACAACAAATATCTTGGAAGAATAGTTAAATTCTTTAATTGTTTTCTTGGTATACTTACTGGCTTTGGCACTAACAAGTCGATTCAAACCTTTTCTTAACCACTTTTTATTTGTAATTTACATAACTATCTGTTTCCAAAGTACTACTTATAAACAAAACTGTTGGGCTAATGGTATATTAAGTTTAACAATAGTTTTTTGGTCTGTTCAATTCAGCTCATTTCCAAACAATAAATTTTCCTGTATAAACTATTTTCTGCTATCCATGTTATATATTGAAATTATTTATTAGTACAGCACATTCCATCATTTTCATCTAGTGTAAGTAGGGTAAAATTTACGAGTTCAGGCTGCAACTATGGAATTTACTATTGATTCAAGTAGAAATTTTTGTTTGTTATGCAAATTTTAAAATACACATGATTTACAATGCAAACCTCAAACCTTTGTATATTTGTCATTATATTCAATTGTTGGTGAAAATAGATGCCTTAGAAAGCATCACATTACTGTATGAACTTGTACATTATAAATATGAAAATCATTTATTTTTCATGGTTAATGTTAAACTTTGTATAATAAAACTGTTCTCATATATACACAATTAAGCATTTTATCTAGATAATTTTTAACAAAAATATTTAGTGTGAATTTGTATTCCTTAATTATCAAATGGTTTTGTTAAAACCACATTAGACAAGTGAAAATTATAATAAAATAGTTAAATATTAACATCATGTAACTTATCTTTAATTTAAACAATCACTTTCATCCAAAAAATACTTCTTTAAGTGTAAGTTTAAACAATGAACAAACATTGAATAAACAGAACAACACATGCAATTTAAAGGAACACGCATTTCTATAGCAACGAATTTTAAAATAAATAATAATACATAAAAAGTTAAATTAATATTAATTAGTTTTACAAAATATTAAAAATGCGTCACTCAACATTCAGTTGACTCCATACATTAAGTAGTGTTGCCACTTTTTCAAAATCGCTGACCGGGACGACAGATCAGGGTCGTGTTCAATAACGCAGAATTCTTGCTTAGTCTAGTTATGCTGCGATGTTGAACTACTGCTTGACTCCTACCACCAATGTTCCCTCTAAATTTTTTTTGTAGATCAGCGGAACATATACTTCTCTGAGCAAAAAATAATTTTGCTGAGCAGATTCTGAGCAAAAAATTTTTCTGAGCATATATATGTTACCGCTAAAGCTCGAAATCCGTTAATGTGCGCATTACCTAGCTAATCTGCAGATTAACTAGGGTGATCCGTTAAAGCTGCGAAAATTATTCCATTTCTCAAATTACCTAGGTAATGTTCAGATTATCTAGGTAATCTGCAAATTACCTACTAGGCACTCGGTAAAGTGAAAATAAGATTTTTGCTGGNAAATTGAATAATAATAGTTTATTTTCATTATGTAACTGTGTGTTTCTTTTTATTTAAAGGTAGATATTCATGTTAATACAGTTAATTATATTATAGCAATGATACGTTTTCCTCTAATATTAGCAGAATTTCTATTCTATTGTTTTGCTGATAAGATACAAATTGAGGAAAAACTTGATATGCAGGTTAGTGATGTTTGAAATTGATAATATAAAAAAAAAATTACTAAAAATGATAAGATTAAATTTTCAGAAAGAATGTCCTATCAAATATGCATCATTTCTATCAAAACTATTATTTTGGTGGTTTACAAAGTAAGTTAATTTTTTTATATATTGTTGGATATTATTTTAATTTTGTATTTAAAAATAAAAAGCTGCTCATATATGTTTAATACAAATATATTGCAAAATAATTTAAGAAATTTCAATTCTTCAGAGGTAAGTTTGTGCTGATTTCAAAAATTTTAAAATGAAACCTTAAATACTAATGCAATCATAAATTTGCATTCACATAAAAATTCAAAAAACACATTTAATTTGATAATAAAATTATTTTTAAAATCATATGTAAAGTTTATCATAAAGAACAATTGATTTAAAATATATGAAGAATGTTTAAATACTGTTTTTATTTTATAGAAGCAATTGTAAATTGCAAATTTTGAACAAAATGACAAATTATTACTAGAATAAAAAAACAATAATCAAACACAACACTTCATATTTATCTGCTTTAAATAATGTAGAAAGTTACTACTAAATCATTTCAGAAAGTAAAAATAAATATAGAGGTATATTTGCAATATTATACTATGAATTAAATATTCTTTGGTCTGATAAGAATAATCTTGCTATAGTTAAATGAAATAATGGATTTCTGTCTGAAATAAAGATTGAGTAAGTTTGGTTAATAAATATTTCAAGAAAAATGAAAACTCATCCTTGGGCAGTAAAAATTATTTTTATAAAATTTAATGTCTTCAGGGTGTTACTGAAATATAAAGTACAGGTATACCTCGACTTATGTCATTTCGAGTTACGTCATTCCTGATTATACATCATTTGTCAAAAAAGTATATGGAAAAATAAAAATCAAGTTCAAAGTCATTTTATTTGACTTTACATCTGTCCGTCACAAATATTGAAATCGTAATATCACTAGAAAAACGTTTAAAGCACATAAAATTATATTAAAATATATACATTTACAAGTGTGTACTGTATTTACAGTTCCGGCATTCGTAAATTTAGATTACTTTTTTCTGTACTATATTAAAAACTAAAATTTATTTCTTTGTAAGCTTAATTAAAATAGATCCTTATTAACCATATATTATTAAAAATGCATTAATAAATAAATACAGAACCGGGAATGGTAATTTATGACAAGTAGATTCGGAGACAAGTAAATTCCACTTACGTCGTTTTTCGATTTATGTCGCCTCTCCCGGAACCAATTACTGACATAAGGCAAGGTATACCTATATACAAATATCATTGAAATTTAATTCTGGCCATTAGTCATAATTCTGAAATAAAATATAATGATGATGAATATTTGTTAATAACCATTTCTAATCTTTCCACATAACTAAAAAAATATACTGATTATATGATATATACTGAATAAAAAAATATACTGATTATAATATGTTAAAATACATTTTTCAGCTTTTCATTAAAATTTCCATATAATATAATAAAAGTAATTAATAATTTAATATTTTTAATAGTAAATTTTCATCTTCGTAACTAATTAGTATTAAAGGTATGTTAGGGGGCAAAGCCAAGAGCATTTTGACCTAAAATATCCTTTGTGCATGCATTACAGGTAGTTCAAATTATTAAAGATTTGTTGTAACTAATAATATAAATTCTATCCAATGCGTTGAAATCTCTGGTGGAAAATAAACTCTTCACAACAGTACAAGAACTGGACATAAGTCATATGACCATTTAACATCATTTGAAAGAGCTGGGAAAAGGTCTGTAGTTGGAAAAATCTGTGCCACATGACCTGCTGCTAGCTCAACTTGAACATTCTGTCAATCAGCACATTTCACTGCACTCTCATCTCCCAGCTCCATTTTTGGATGAAATTGTTATCAAATACAATATAAGAATATTAAGCATTGTTCAGTGACTAAGTCCTGGAGATAAAGTGGCACTTCAGCTGACAACCAACCTTCATCCAACAATGATGTTGCTTGGTGTGTGATGGGATATGCAAGGTGTGATACATTTTGAGCTGCTGAGAAGGAATGAAACCATCATAGCTGAAATTTACTGTCAGCAATTGGACCATTTGATGGAAGCTCTGTGAGAAAAATGCCCAGACTATGTTCTCTATCATCATGCTAATGCCTGTCCACAAAAGAGCTCTTATCACCTCTAAAAAAACTGGAGGAACTGGAGAAATGGTACATCCCCTTATTCCTTAGATCTTGCTCCTTAAAATTATACTTACTTTGGAGCTTGCAAAA